CCTTCAGTGGAGCAGAACCATCTCAGCAAGTTCAAACACCTGAACTGAAAAACCGTGGGGTTTTTTTTTATCCCAAGCACGGCCCAAGATCCTTCCAGGTGTTCTTTAGCTCCAAACCTGAGCTGAAGCACAGAAAGGCATCTCTGGCTGGGTGGGGTGGGCAATGCTCTGCCTCAGCAGGCTTGTACAGAAAATAGGAGCCGATTTGGGAGCTCCAGACAGAGCTGGAAAAGCCCACGGCAGGCAGCTCGGCAGAGCCTGGCCCCGGGGGAAATCTCCTGGCTGCAGGCGGTGAGGAGCTGCCTGGCAGTGCTTATATCCGTATATATATTAATCCCAGCTAATGTAACTACAGATGTTCTCATTCAGAGCCCTATCTAATCCTGTTGGGCCCTTGCCATGGTGGCTCGTAGCAGGAGTTCTACGAGTTAATTACGTGCGGTGCAAAGCAGCGTTTCCTTTTCTCCTTGAAAAGGTTGCCTTTTCAACGCCCTCAATGTCCCTTTGTTGCCGGGCTTTAAGGAGCAGTGGAGAGGAGCACCTGTCTGACCTTCCCGGCGCTCGCATTGCTTGGCAGCCCTCCACGGTCTCTTGGCAAGGCATTCCGAATCTTTGCCGTGGGTGCTCTCCGTGCCTTTCACTGCAGCTCCCAGCTGAGGACGTGCTATTGATTTCTCTAGTGCCCCGCTATGAATTCAGAGTTTCTCTCTCCCCCTTTCACAGCACAGCCTCCCATCTTGCGGCTCTTCTGAGCTGCGCTGCAATCAGCCAGATGTTTCATTGACTCCCAGATCTTCTCCTGGAGTGGCTGCGGTTAATTGGGACCCTTCAGCGTGGATGAGCCATCCTGTTCCCTCCTTCCCATTGTGCCTCCTCCTGCTCTCCGGATTTTGGCTGCTGTCCCCCCATCCGCTCGGCCACTTTGGGTCTGGCTCGCAGAGAGCGACGTGGTCTCCTCACATCTGGAGCAGCCAAGCTCAAGGTGCTCACCCGGGAGTGCTCTCAGCTCCCTGCTGTCCTTATGGTTATTTTACAGAGAAAATCAGCTCCTGGGAGCAGAGGCACCCCCACGGCTGCTCTCATTGCCCGTTAGCCTCCCCACAGATTCCTGCTCCTTGTTTTCTCCTCCAGAGCCATGTTTTCAACCAAAAAATAACTTCATTTTTCACTAGGAACTCCTGGTCACCTCTGCCACAGACACTCAGCATAAATTCCTACAGTTTTCCGTAAAAAAATGAAATCCTGAGAGTTATTTCCCTTCCCCCGATGTTCCGTGGGCATTTTTCTTGCTCCAGCATCATCCCCGTTTGCTTCTCTCCCATCTCAGCGTACCCTCTGCGGGGCGATCCTTTCAAGCAAGGCATGAGGAAAAACCCCGTGTTATCCTCCCTGTCATCTGCAGGGCTGTCCCGGCCATCCCTGTCCTGTCCTGTTTTCCTGTCCTGCTCGCAGAGCTGCCTTCGGCTCCGGTGCCTGCGGGGCTCTGCTCAGCGCAGGGCGCTGCTGAATTTCTGCGCCTCGCTGGCTGATGAACAAATCCACAAAGCCAGGGAAGTTCAGGGATGAAAGCCAGGGAAGTTCAGGGATGCAAAGTGTTCTGTGAGTCCCGGGGTGCCAATCGGAAAGGCAGCGGCGATGCCAAAGGGGCGTTGGCACCGGTCACCCCCCGCGGGCATCGTGGTGCAGCCTTCCCTCAGTTTGGGTTTAGAGCCCAAAGGAATTTGAACCAGATTGGGAAAATCAGCATCAAGCACCAGCAGCTCCACGGCTGGGGAAGGAGAAGAGCCTGTAATTGCTGGCTGCAAGTGTTTGCACTGGCCGAGGAAGTGTAAATTACCTTTAATTGCACTAATTGCTGGCGCTGGTTCAGTTTCTGGAGGACGGGACAGCAAATCCCATCTGCAGGAGCTCCGAGCCCCTCCTGCAGCGCCCATCGCCGCACTTTGGGGGGGCCAGAGCCGGCAGGACGGGCCGGACCAGGGGGACGCTGGGGACAGGGACACGAGCCCGTCCCGTCACCCAGACAGGATTCTCCCCTCGGTGTGGCAGGGATCGGCCGGGATCTCATCCCGGTGGAATCCACGGGATTTCAGATCTGCCACTCGTGCCCTCTGCAGCCCTGGGCACCTCACATCACACCGGGGGACAGCAGAGCCGGCTGGGGACAGGAGACAGCCTCAGAGAGGCCCGAAAATGCCCCGGCAGCTCTGGGCGAGCTGCGCCGAGCCTCTGCCCCGAGAGGGGAGCAAGCGGCAGCGTTCGATTCATTCACTGATTTTCAAAGAGCTCTCTGGGCTCCCAGCCCGGCCTCCAGGACCCTGACTGGGGATCTCGCTCATCACCAAGGCTCTTCTCCCTCTTTTCCCCAGAGTCCCGCTGAAATGGGGGCGATCCGCTCACACGGGGGCTCCTCCAGGATGGAGCAGCCCCGGAGTGAGCGCCCGGAGCACGAGGCTGCTCATCCCCACCCATCTGCCTGTCCTTTGCCTCTCCTGGGTAACCCTGCCCTGATTTGCTTATTTTTGTGTTAACTCCTGGCTCTCTGCTCTTCTTTAACTCTCTTCTCTCCCGTTTCTCCTGCAGGCCTTTGCTTAATGTGGTTTTATTTCCTCTCCCCCAGCATTACCTGAGCCATCCCTTGGGGCTGCAGTGTGAAGGTTTTCCCACCTAAGCATCCCTCTGCTCATCACCAGCCATGCTGATTTCCCGTTGAAACTTTTCCAATCTAAATTAGCTTTAGAAAATGAGATTTCTGCTGAGAACAGGTTTGCAAGCAGCCATTTCCCAGGGGCAGCTCAGGGCAGGGGGGAGAGAGGGACTTTTAATCAAAAATTCAAATCAGAAGTGTTAGGAAAAGAGGAGAAAAGGAGCAAAAGCTTTGTTGGTTTCTTGAGGGGTTTCTTTCCCCCTCGTGTGAAAAATCATCAGGTTTTGGCAAGGCTCTGTCTCTTCCCAGCCAGGAGCTGTGGGGTCAGGGCTGGTGGCAGTTTGCTGGAGCTCTGGATGTCCCCAGGGAGAAGTTGGTCCACCCGGAGCAGGGGTGCTCCAGGCACCACCCAGACCCTGCTGGGCAGGGGGATCAGCCGGGGAGCTGCTGGGGCAGGGAGCAGGATCCTGCTGGGCTGGCTGGGAGGGATCCTCCAGCCAAACCCCAAACTTGGAAACCCAACACCAATGGGGGATGCGTCTGCTGTCCCCAGGTGAGGCACATTTAGTGCCAGGGGTGTGCAGACCAAACCAAGCAGAACTGCAGGGTCCAGGAAAAGGCCTCCTGGGAGAGATGTGCCCGGTTTGGGGGGCTTGAAGCCACCGGTGCCTTGGGGACCCTGGCGCTGCCCCAGCGCAGCCCCTGCAGCGGGACAGGTTTCCCCCAGCCCCTGTTCCTGGCAGGCAGCTCCCCTGAGGGGCAGGAGGAGAGCGGGATCAGCTCCCCAGGGAGGCATTTGGCTGCCTCCTGCCCGGGATGCTGCAGAAGAAAAGGAAAGCTTTCCTGCCTGCCTGTCCCTGCCACCGCTCAGCAGGGGCAGCCCACAGTCTGGCACGGCGCTTGCAGCTCTTAGAAATCAGGGCTGTTAACAAATGTGCGAGCCCGTAATCCTTTTGGAGCAGTGATGATAACAAGCCCTGATGCTTTTGCGCTTTTTTTTTTTTCTTTATGGCTTTTCTTCTTTTTGGCTTTTTTTTTTTTTTTTTTAAATCCCCCTCAAACAGCTGTGCCAGTAAAGTCCCACTGTGGGAAATGAGATGGTGAATGTTTGAATGTTTTCAAGTGCAGTATTTACATCCCCTGCCAAACCCTTCACATCTGCCCAGCTCTGCCGTCAAGGCTGCATCCATCTGGCCGGGAACAGCAGGTCCTCCAGCCCGCCTGCATCCAACAAGGGCATTTCCTTCCTGTGCCCGCAGTGCCAGCTGCCAGGGATGCTGCTCAGCGGGAAGGGCTCGAGCGAGAGCTCTGAAAGGGCTGCTTTGATTTTTCTTGGAGGGCACGTGAGATGAATTCCCAAGCAATTGCTTCCTGCCTGGCAGAGGGGCGGTGGAGCCCTGCCGGGTCTGTACCTCTGTACCAGCCCTGCCACCGCCCCGGGAGTTTGGGCTGCCGGGTGGGGGCGGTGGGTGCTGCTGCCCTGCCTTGAAATCCTGCAAACATCTCAGCTCTCACGGGCTGAGGAGCCGTGTCTGCGGGATGAGCCCCAGCTGCTGCCAGGGTCTGCCATCCAGGCTGCACCTCGGGGCTGTGCCCAGTGCCGCCCCTGTGCCCAGTGCCAGCCCTGGTCCCGGCTCTGGTCCCGGGGCTGTCCCGGCTCTGGTCCTGGCTCTGTTCCCGGGGCTGTCCTGGCTCTGGTCCCGGGGCTGTGCGACCCTGATCCTGGGGCTGTGCTGGCTCTGGTCCCGGCTCTGGTCCCGGCTCTGGTCCCGGCCCTGGTCCCGGCTCTGGTCCCGGGGCTGTACCGGCTCTGGTCCCGGCTCTGGTCCTGGCCCTGGTCCCGGCTCTGGTCCCGGGGCTGTGCCAGCTCTGTTCCCGGGGCTGTGTGGCCCTGGTCCT